GTATCCACCACAACCACAACCACCACCACCACCACTACCACCACTACCACACTACCACCACCACTACCACCACCACCACCACCACTCACCACCACCACCACCACTAACACCACTACCACTCACCACTACCACTAATACCACCACTAGCACACTACCACCACCACTACACCACCACAACCACCACCACCACCACTCACCACTACCACTACCACCACCACTACTACCACCACAACCACCACCACCACTCACCACTACCACCACCACAACCACCACCACAACCACTCACCACTACCACCACCACTAACACCACTACCACCACCACTAACACCACTACTACACTACCACCACCACTACCACCACCACCACCACAACCACCACCACTCACCACTCACCACCACCACTACCACCACTACCACCACCACTAACACCACTACCACCACGACCACCACTCACCACCACCACTACTATCACCACTGCCACCACTACTACCACCACCACTAACACCACTACCACACTACGACCACCACCACCACTACCACCACCACTACTCACCAACCACTCACTACTACCACCACTACCACCACTACCACCACCACTACCACCACTACCACCACAACAACCACCACCACTACTTACCACTCACCAACCACTCACTACCAATACCACTAACACCACTACCACCACCACTACCACCACCACTACAACCACCGCAACCACCACTACCACCACCACTACAACCACCACAACCACCACAACTCACCACCACCACTCACTACCACCACTACTCACCACAACAACCACCACCACTACTCACCACTCACCAACCACTCACTACCACCACCACTCCCTGAGCCGCGATCCCAGCGTTCTGGCTGCCTGGGGGATGGGATGGGTAAGGGAGGGGCTTAGCGGACAGCAGACAGAGCTCTACCTGCAGATCTCAGCTGCTGCCTGTAGGAGGCCGTAGGACTGCGAGAAGGGGCCGGGTTAGCGGAGAGAGCAGAGAGCTCTGCCTGCAGACCTCAGCTGCTGCCTGTAAGGGGCCGTAGGCCTGCGAGAAGGGGCCGGGTCAGTGGAGAGAGGAGAATTGTGCGTGCAGATCTCAGCTGCCAGTAGGAGGTCGTAGGCCTGCGAGAAGGGGCCGGGTTAGCGGAGACCGGAGAGAGCTCTACCTGCAGATCTCAGCTGCTGCCTGTTGGAGGCCGTAGGACCGCGAGAAGGGTCCGGGTTAGTGGAGAGAGGAGAGTTGTGCGTGCAGATCTCAGCTGCCGCCTGTAGAAGGCCGTAGGACCGCGAGAAGGGGCCGGGTTAGCGGAGAGCAGACAGAGCTCTGTGCAGACCTCAGCTGCCACCTGTAGGAGGCCGTAGGCCTGCGAGAAAGGGCTGGGTTAGTGGACAGCGGAGAGCTCTACCTGCAGATCTCAGCTGCTGCCAGTAGAAGGCCGTAGGCCTGCGAGAAGGGGCCGGGTTAGTGGACAGCAGAGAGCTCTGCCTGCAGATCTCAGCTGCTGCCTGTAGGAGGCCGCAGGCCTGCGAGAAGGGGCCGAGTTAGTGGACAGCGGAGAGCTCTGAATGCAGACCTCAGCTGCTGCCAGTCGGAGGCCGTAGGACTGCGAGAAGGGTCCGGGTTAGTGGAGAGAGGAGAGTTGTGCGTGCAGATCTCAGCTGCTGCCTGTAGGAGGCCGTAGGCCTGCGAGAAGGGGCCGGGTTAGCGGAGAGCAGAGAGCTCTGCATGCAGACCTCAGCTGCCGCCTGTAGGAGGCCGTAGGACCGCGAGGAGGGGCTGGGTTAGTGGACAGCGGAGAGCTCTACCTACAGATCTCAGCTGCCTGTAGGAGGCCGTAGGCCTGCGAGAAGGGGCTGGGTTAGCGGAGAGCGGTGAACTCTGCCTGCAGATCTCAGCTGCTGCCTGTAGGAGGCCGTAGGCCTGCGAGAAGGGGCTGGGTTAGTGGACAGCAGACAAAGCTCTGCCTGCAGATCTCAGCTGACGCCCGTAGGAGGCCGTAGGCCTGCAAGAAGGGGCTGGGTTAGCGGAGACCGGAGAGAGCTCTGCCTGCAGACCTCAGCTGCTGCCTGTAGAAGGCCGTAGGCCTGCGAGAAGGGGCTGGGTTAGCGGAGAACAGAGAACTCTGCCTGCAGATCTCAGCTGACTGTAAGAGGCCGTAGGCCTGCGAGAAAGGGCCGGGTTAGTGGACAGCGGCGAGCTCTACCTGCAGATCTCAGCTGCTGCCAGTAGGAAGCCGTAGGCCTGCGAGAAGGGGCCGGGTTAGCGGAGACAGCAGAGAGCTCTCTCTGCAGACCTCAGCTGCTGCCTGTAGGAGGCCGTAGGACTGCGAGAAGGGTCCGGGTTAGCGGAGAGAGGAGAGTTGTGCGTGCAGATCTCAGATGCCTGTAGGAGGCCGTAGGCCTGCGAGAAGGGGCTGGGTTAGCTGAGAGCGGTGAACTCTGCCTGCAGATCTCAGCTGCTGCCAGTAGGAAGCCGTAGGACTGCGAGAAGGGGCTGGCTTAGCGGAGAGTGGACAGAGATCTGCATGCAGATCTCAGCTGCCAGTAGGAGGCCGTAGGACTGCGAGAAGGGGCCGGGTTAGCAGAGACCGGAGAGAGCTCTACCTGCAGATCTCAGCTGATGCTCGTAGGAGGCCGTAGGACCGCGATAAGGGGCCGGGTTAGCGGAGACCGGAGAGTTGTGCGTGCAGATCTCAGCTGCTGCCTGTAGGAGGCCGTAGAATGGTGAGAAGGGGCCGGGTTAGCGGAGAGAGCAGAGAGCTCTACCTGCAGATCTCAGCTGCTGCCTGTAGGAGGCCGTAGGCCTGCGAGAAGGGGCCGGGTTAGCGGACAGCAGAGAGCTCTGACTGCAGATCTCAGCTGACGCCCGTAGGAGGCCGCAGGCCTGCGAGAAGGGGCCGAGTTAGTGGACAGCGGAGAGCTCTGAATGCAGACCTCAGCTGCTACCAGTCGGAGGCCGTAGGACTGCGAGAAGGGTCCGGGTTAGTGGAGAGAGGAGAGTTGTGCGTGCAGATCTCAGCTGCTGTCTGTAGGAGGCCGTAGGCCTGCGAGAAGGGGCCGGGTTAGTGGACAGCAGAGAGCTCTGCCTGCAGATCTCAGCTGCTGCCCGTAGGAGGCCGTAGGATGGTGAGAAGGGTCCGGGTTAGCGGAGAGCGGTGAACTCTGCCTGCAGACCTCAGCTGCTGCCGGTAGGAGGCCGTAGGACTGCGAGAAGGGGCTGGGTTAGCGGAGAGCAGAGAGCTCTGTCTGCAGATCTCAGCTGCCTGTAAGAGGCCGTAGGCCTGCGAGAAGGGGCTGGGTTAGCGGAGAGAGCAGAGAGCTCTGCATGCAGACCTCAGCTGCTGCCTGTAGGAAGCCGTAGGATGGTGAGAAGGGGCTGGGTTAGTGGACAGCAGAGAACTCTGCGTGCAGATCTCAGCTGCTGCCTGTAGGAGGCCGTCGGCCTGCGAGAAGGGGCCGGGTTAGCGGAGAGAGCAGAGAGCTCTGCATGCAGACCTCAGCTGCCTGTAGGAGGCCGTAGGCCTGCGAGAAGGGGCCAGGTTAGCGGAGAGAGGAGAGAGCTCTGCCTGCAGATCTCAGCTGCTGCCTGTAGGAGGCCGTAGGCCTGCGAGAAGGGGCTGGGTTAGCAGACAGCGGAGAGCTCTGCCTGCAGATCTCAGCTGCTGCCCGTAGGAGGCCGTATAGGACCGCGATAAGGGGCCGGGTGCAGATGCAGCACTTGTCGTAATTAATTTTTTTTTTAAAGTAATGTGTACATATGAAACACAGTGGGGGGCGGGGGGGGGGCGGGTGGGACATCGACATAGAGTCGGGAGAGAGTTGGTGGAGGTTTAAGTTTTCAGTTTATTTATTTTGGTATCGAGCCCTGTGAGCCATCCGGCAACCGCGAACAGACACACAAACAGAACTAAATCACGAACGATATATTGAAAAAAAAAACACATCTTTAGGTGACCGCTACTACGCGTTGACCGTGCGGAAACATAAAAATCCATCGGGGGGGGGGGGGGGGGGGGGGGGGAGAGGGGGTAAAAAAAACACAGCCAAAAAATATTCCTGTATTCCTGGAAATAAGCCACCGTGTACACCACCACCACCACCACCGACACTGCGTGCACAAAATATCCCGGTGTGGGATGCAAAGTCAAACAACAACAACAACCACAACAACAACCACCACAACAACAACAACAACCACAACAACAACAACAACCACAACAACAACAACCACAACAACAACAACCACGACAACAACAACCACCACAACAACCACAACAACAACCACAACAACCACCACAACAACCACAACAACAACCACAACAACAACTACAACAACAACCACCACAACAACAACCACCACCACAACAACAACCACCACAACAACAACCACAACAACAAACACCACAACAACAACCACAACAACAACAACCACCACAACAACCACAACAACAACCACCACAACAACAACCACATCCACCACAACAACAACCACCACAACAACAACAACCACAACAACAACAACCACCACAACAACAACCACCACAACCACAACAACAACCACAACAACAACAACCACAACAACAACCACAACAACAACAACCACAACAACAACCACCACAACAACAACCACCACAACAACAACAACCACAACAACAACAACAACAACCACAACAACAAGACAACTTAGATTAAGGCCGTCAAGTCTAACTCCGTACTACAACAACAACAACAACACCAAAACTATGTCCAACCCCCCACCCCCTCCAAAAAAAACACCACGTTTTTCGAAATCGCCAAAAATATATATATAAAAGCCGCCATCGCAACGTAACGGCGATCACTGACCGAATTTGTTCGCGAGAAACTACGTAAATAACAAGCAACACCAAATCCTAGATCCACAGAGGCATCAGTCGGAGATAGAGAGAGAGGGGGGGTAGAGAGAGATATATAGAGAGAGGAGAGGGGGGTGATAAGGAGATCAGATCGTGAAA